CAATTTTTTTTTTTTTTTTACAAAATAAAACTGCAAAATTATGATAAGAGAAGAGATTGTCGATTGCAAGTATCACTAGCAGAAATTTTGGTTTTATCAATGGAATTTTATTTTTGTAAAAGTTGAAAATTCATCGATAATAGCATTAGCAATGGATTTAGCAACGGAAAAATTTCGTCAATGGTAATTATATTGATAATGTTATTCCATCAATAATAATTGAAATTCATTGGTAATTATTGACAACAAATTTATCAAAAAATTTATTTGTAAAATTCACTGCAATTTGTACCAAATTATTACCTATGAATTATCGATAAATTTAATTTCATTGATAATCTGTCAATAAATTTTTTTTTTTAAATTTCATCGATAATTCATTGATAATTAATGATAGAAAATTTTTGTCTATAATAATTAAATTTCTGATAATATATTGAAATTTAAATTTTAAATCCATTAAATATAATTATTTTAAAAAAATTATATAAATAAATTGAGCTAAACTCCAAATTCGTTACTAGTAATTTTTAAATGGTTTTAAAGCGAAAATCTAGCCACTGACGATCCTCTTTGGCACAGTCAATGATCAGACTTGGCCTTTAAATAGTTAATCCGACTAGAATATAGTCAGGTAATAATCGTCAGCGATTTTTTGAGGGCATGGTAAAATTTTCCGGTACCTGTCTCTTTCCTAACACTTGACTAGAAATGAAATTAGAAAAATTTTGTAAATTTAAGATGGTCAAATAAATAAATAGTATATATATATATATTATATTCTATTCGGGATTACTTGGAATGGTCAATGAATAACAATTCTTGATTGGGAGCCAAGAATGATTATTCAATAATTTCAAGGAACAGCCCATTCAATCGGATGGCTATTCTGTGTCTAAAAATGAACCAAATGGCGAAATCCTCTTTCAACTGTGAATAAACCCTGCATGGAATGATTATTACACCAAACCAAACATGAGCTACTAATATTATAATTATTTATTTATTTTATATATTCGTATCAAACTCGATCTAGGTCTGACTTCATCAATAATTTAGTCGTTCTTGGTGTACATTATACATCACAGCTCAGATCATGTTAAGACCAGCAGATTAATAATATATTTCTATACATTATTTTTTTTAGATATTTTTTAACAAAAGAAAACCTTTTCCTATATATATTCTCTTTATTTTTGCTTTATATATAGCTTATAAGCAAGGTTTAGCCTCCTTATTTGATTAATTTATTAACAAGAATCCTCTAAAAAATTCTCACATGATTTCATAAACAAAAATTTAACATTATTTGACCCTATTATATTTGTTTTTTCTAATGTGATAAAGTTTCAATAAATAATTTAAGATCGCATGAGATCAAATTTTGTAAAAATTATAATAAAATTTTTGCGTGACATAAAATTATAAATTAAAAATATTAAATTTATTTCATTAAAGCATTTAAAATAAAATCTATCGATACGAATAAAAATTTTATAATTGAGTCAGGTTAAAATTTTATAATAATTAAAAAAATCAAATTCTTAAAATCAAAACTCTTCGCGAAAAAAGGAATCGAAATCATGATTTTGAAAAGAATTGCACAGACGCCGCCAGTCCACATAGCCACGAGGCAGGACCAACGTGCTGGGAAAGTTGCAAAAGCATTTGGGAGAATGTGGTACCCAATCATCATTTCCAATTCCCCATCGGCCCTGTGATTTGTTAATATTTGAACGTTCATACTGTGTAAAATATGAATAATTTATATATTTATATTATATTTTATATAAAAATTTAGGTATTTTAATTTGTATTGATATAAAAATTATAAAATATATATTTTAATTTTTATTAAAATTTTAATTTATATCATTTATATATTTTTATTTCATATTTTTAGAAAAAAATTTACATTAAATTGTATTGGTAAAATTCATGAAATTTTTCATTAAAAATGAATAAATTAAAATTAAAATAAAAATGAATAGATTAAAAGATTTTATTACATAAATTAAATATGTAAAATTTAAAAAAATTAATAAATTTTAATATATTTATTAAATAGATATTTTAGTAAAAATATTAATAAAATTTTTATCTTTAAATAAGTATAAATTATATTTGAATTATAAATAATATTTTTAATAATTTTTTATATATTATTGATTTTCATATTAAATTTTATATCAATCTATCAGTTTCATTTTTTATTAAAATTTTTATTTACTCATTTCTCATAGAAAATATCACAAATTTCATTTATGAAATTTTATTTAAATTTTATTTCATATTTCAATATCATATTTTAAATTATAAAATCTAATAAAAATTATTAATTTAAATTTAACAGGGAATGATTCAACAACAGCCAGTACTGATTATTTCACATCTTAATACTATGAATGACCATCACTTTCACTCGGTCGAACTAATATGCAACAAAAATGATCTTAGTTTAATTTATAAAAAGAAAAGTTCGTTTTACTTATTAATTAAGATTCCATTTTTTTAAGAGTACATCAAGTTTGAAAATAGAATTATCTTAGTCTACTTTATAAAAAGAAAAGTTCTCTTTACTTACTAATTAAGATTCAATTTTTTACGAATACTATAAATTTGAAAATAAAATTTTAGAGGCTAAAATATTAAAAAATTCTTGAACTATTTTGTTATTGAGTTAATTTCAAAAATTAAATATGTTCATTTTTTTAATTTATGTACAAAACTTATAAAATTTTGAATTAAAATTCAAATTAGAAAATTTTGAATAAAAATTTTAAATTCTATTCTTTGAATATTTAAATACTTTTAATATTTTTTATGTTAATAAAATTTAAATTTTAATCACTAAAATTAATTAATTTAATATTTTATTAATAAATTATACGATTATTAATCCGATTTTTTTTTTGCTTCTTTCTTTCCTTTGTCTTGTTAGGAGACAATAAGTACAATCTCTTTAAACTTTGGAATTAGTATATGGTTTTTTTTTTTTTTTTGATAAATGTGTATATAGTTTATAATATATGCTTTACAACTAGCTGATTGGAAACAATGGGGTTGGCCAACTGTAAATGGATCTACATATGACAAATGTTGCCTGCCCAAGATATCAAACAAACAGAAAATTGAGATTAGAGCACATCTCAACATGAATATGCCTCCTCCTTTTGTCTCCAAGACTGAACATTTTTTTTTATAGTAGGTAAAGAATAAACCTAGATTTGGTCTCAGGTATAACCTGCCTCAATTGAAAACATTCTTAACCTTAACTTAAGGCATAAAGCAGTAATTAATTAATTATAAAAAATACGCCCTTATAATTAATTTCTCCAGCAATGGGAATTAAATCAAGGATTTTATTAATTAGTGTTGTAATGGTATTTTTTAAAATTATTAATCTACTCTTGATTTCTTTATTCTTATATTTATTTGGCTGAAATTGATATTATATGCATAAATTCTTTTGAATTTATAATCTTCAAATGTCAATTTTAATTCATGTCAATTGATTTAAAGATTAATTGATATTTTTTTAATTAGTTAAATTATATTAAATGTGATAACTGACTATTAATCTTATGAATTTTAATATATTAAAAAAAATTAATTATTTAATATGATAATCTTGAAGAATGTCTTTAAAGCAATTGTTAACAAATCCTTACGAAAAACCAATTCAATTTTTGCAGTTAAATTTTTTTTAGAATAGTTGTACAACATATTGAAACATAAAAAAATTAAACTAAAATATATATCAATATTCTTAATTTGATTCATGAATATTTATATTATTCAATAAATATATATATATATGTTAAACTTAAATTACATTAAAATATTTATCTGAAGTTAATTGAGTTTATGAATACCATAAATTCATGAATGGTTAAATTCATGCAATGATTCTTTATTATTTATTCTACTCGATAATGGATATAAATCTAGACTCAAAATTTAAGTAATATGAAATATGAAATATATTAATTTACAATTAATTGAGTTTATAATACTATAAATTTATAAATGATTAAATTCATAAATAATTAAATTTATATAATTTAAAATAAAAACAAAAACATTAATTAATAATAATCTAAACATGCAAATCATGTGAATTTATATATATATAAAATCAAAACATTAAAAACAAACAAGAAATCCTAAACATTGCCTTTTAATAAATCTTTTAAAAAAAAATGCATGCCAATCAAAGAAGAATAAGGAAATAAAAATAAATGTGAGTTAGATTAAGGGAAAAAACAAAACTTATAGACAATTCTTTTTGTAACTTTTATCATCTACGTACTACAAATTTGAAGCATAAAAAAAAAAGAAAAGAAAACAATAAAAAGGTTAACTGAAAAAAACTCCTATATTAAGCAACTATTAAATAATATCTCTACTAACTACTTAGGATAATTTTGTAGTTATTACTTATTACCCTTTTTTGAGGGCATTGAGATCCGAAATTTAAATCCTCAACAAATCTAACAAACTTAGAATTTTTTTTTAATAAAATAGATAAAAAAAATTACAAATATTGAGATTTAAATCATAAAATGTTATAGTGAAGTTTTTAATTTAACAAGTAGGGTTAAAATTATGGTACATATTTTACTTATTTTTTAAACTAAAATTTTTATATATATAAAAGATATATATATAATCATTTTAATTTCGCTTATAAAATTAACAAATTTTATTATTAATATATTTGATAATTTTTTATAATATAAAAATAATTTGGAATAGTAGTCCATTTGATTCGGATTCTATTATTTTTGTTTGTAATATTTTTTAAACATTTTTTTTCAAACTCTTTATAATGATATAACATCAATTTTAAGTCAAAATATATCGATAAAATTCAACTTTATCCCATATTTTCTTTTTCACTTAAAAACTTGTCAACGTTATTTCGTATGTAAAACTAGATTGCTTTCAGACTTGAGAGCAGCCGTAACCTTAACAAGTTCAAATTTGAACCGGAAACATAAATATTGGCCACCTGTATATGTTTTTGGCGGTTTTATTTAGAGACAAAGACTTTGTTACGTTTTTGAACACGTAGAAACATCAGCTTCTACACATTCTCACCAAAGGAAAATTCTTTTGTTCTCTAAATCTTTTTTCCTTGTCTGTGAAACCAACCCATATTTCTTCATGTTTTCTTTATCAAAAAACTAAGCTGACAGGGGAAAAAAATGGGATTGTTGAGCACTTTGTTGGGAATTTTTGGCTTTGGAATTGGAGTTCCTTTTGGAATCTTGGTTGGATTCCTTCTCTTCATTTACTCTAAGCCCAAAACTGTGAAGGTAAACAAAGAATTTAATTTCTTTTTTCATCATTCTTGTTCTGGGTATTTGTTAATTATTTTCTTCATTATAGCCTTTGCAAAACAAAATTTTTTTTTTTCATTATTTTCACTTTGTCTTGTCGAAGTTGAATGCTTTTGCACCTAACTTTCTGGTTATTTTTGTTAAGATTTCAACCAGATAATTATTAGTTTCTTCATTGCTATTGTAAAAATGGTTATTTTATTTTATTTTATTTGAGTTTATCAGAATCTGATTGTTGGATTTGTCTATTAGTTTTTTTTTTTTTTAATCTTTTTCATTTACTTCTAGCAAAGTTTAATGCTTTTCCATTACTGGTTCAGATATAACAATGTATAAGAGCTTCATGGTGTTTTGTAGTAAAGTTTTAGATTTCATCTGGGTATTCATTGATTTCTTCAAAGCCTTGGCAAATGTGGTTTTCTTTTCCCTTCTTTTCTGGAAAAGTGGAATTACTCTTCCATTATTGGTTTTCTGCCGTTTTTGCCGTATTTTTTTTACAGACAGAAACTTTTCAATTGTAATAATATACACCTTTTTTTTTTTTTACAAGAGGATTATTACTGCTCGAACCTATGTCTCTAGCCAAGTGACTTGTGACTGAAATAATATGCATTACAATTATTTTTCATTGCAATTTTTTAATGCTGTACATTTTTGTGTGCGTGAAAGAATAATTTCATGTTTATTGTAGTTTATATATTTTAATTTGCAGAGAAAAACTTGTTTAAGATGTTTGGATGAATTAATTCTTGTTATCAAAGTCAAGTATTTAGAGGAAAAAGCAAAGTGAGACTTTTATTTCCTTTAATGGTAAAAAATTTGGGGTTTTGAATTGTTCTGCCAGTGGGGGTTCAAGCTAAAAGGTGAAGTAATTGAAGTTTTGTACAAATAGATATGGACCATTTTTTTCTTTCCTTTAATGTTCATTCCAGGGAAATCCTTAATCATGCATGCACTTGTCATAATTTATTCACGGTCAATATTGATTATGGTACACTCATTCAAGTATTTGAAAAAGAAAAAATGAATTATCAACATGAGATAGGATGGAGGGTCTAATTCTTAGGATGATTTAATGATAGTTGAATTTCCTTCTGTATTCTATGAAACATCATATTAACTCACTAGCTTGTAGAGATTTGAAATTCCAAGTTGATAGTGATGTTATTTTCCATCTAACCTATTTGAAGTACCTGGTATAGGAACTGATCACTAGGCCACTTTACGAGCTAGATGACAGTGCATTGCAGGATCTTCTTGCTGATATTCCAATATGGGTGAAATGCCCTGATTATGAGAGAGTGAGTGTGTTGTAGACTCGGATTATTTAGATTCTTAACTCTGATCTTTTTTTCTCCATAGATGTATATTGATGGTAACTCTGTGGATGATGCAGGTAGATTGGTTCAACAAGTTTGTTACTGATATGTGGCCATACCTTGATAAGGTAGTTTGATGTCTTAAAGAGTATTGAGATGTTATATTATTTTAGTTATGAAGCTGGAGTTTGATTTTAATCTACAGGCAATTTGTGCTAGAATAAGAAGCATGACAGAAACCATGTTTGCAGAGTATATTGGAAAGTTTCAGATAGAAGCCATTGAGTTTGATAATCTAAGTCTTGGAACTCTTCCTCCAGAAATTCATGGTAAGTTGTCTGCAGTACTTACCTTATTCACTGTGATGAGAGTTGATGCCACAGATAACACCAAATATACTCTGTCTGCAACTGAACTTTATGGTAGAAAGCCAAGTTCACTTTTTTGGTACTATGAAAGCCAAGCTCATTTGCATCTTATTATCTGATAAAATGCCATGAAAATGAACCCAAAGCTTAGCTCAATTGATTGCATCCACAAGTATAGAATTTAAATCCCAACACCTATAATCTCTTTTCTTATCCCTTGACTGCAGCCCCATTTGTATATAAAAGAAAGATGCCATGAAAATCACAAAAGTGACATTTTATAGCACAAACTACCAAAGCCCATTGTCACAACTAGGATTCTAAATAATTTCTAATAGCATAAAGCAATGGAAGATTAGAAAAACCTGCAAAGCCCATTCCCATTGAACTTTTTGTGGCATATTTATCTAATCACAAGCTGGGGTAAAATTTTTGGATAAGAGAAAGAGATCAGTTTTTGATTTTGAGCTGTTGTCAGAAAATCCATGGAATAATTATTTCTAAATAATTCATGAATTTCCCATCATACTCACACTCTCCAAGATTTTATTGTGATATAATTACCTTATGCTCCTTGACTGAAAAACATGCGAGTAAGATAGGATTCTTCTAAACGAAATGGATGTTTACTTATTCTCCAAAATCATAGCATGGTATGAGCAAATGTTTAAGCACGGGAAATCTTGAGCATCCAGCCCTATCAATGACAGATCTAAGATTTTTTTTTTTTTGGAATATTCACTTATAATATATATAAAACTGTCGACGGATTTATCAATTTTATGAATGAAAAAGATATCTAAAAAAATTTAGGTGTCCAAGGAAAATTTCCTTCAAATTCTTCTGTTTTTCCAATCTTTTGAGGTGTCGATAGACATCCTACTTATATATGTGAATCTGCCTCTGGAGCCTTTTATTGCTTCTTAATTTTTTTCTCATTTTGTTGTAATTCACCATTTGCAGGTCTAAAAGTCTGTGAAACAAATGAGAAAGAACTAGTCCTGGAACCAGCAGTTAGATGGGCTGGCAATCCAAACATAGTTTTGGTGTTGAAGTTGTTATCTTTTCGAATCACAGTTCAGGTCAGAAGAATCTAGGGACAGAATTGACAGAAGAATATATCTTTTCTCTTTGTATAAGAAAGATGCGTTTTCCAAGAGTTTGATTATGCTTCTTCACAGTTAGTGGATTTACAAATATTTGTGGCACCACGGATAACTTTGAAACCTCTTGTACCTACCATACCATGTTTTGCAACTGTTGCAGTATCTCTGCTGGAGAAGGTTAGTAAAATTTTTGAGTAAAATACAGCATTGGTCATTTAATTATAATAGTGTTTTTTGAATTTAAGTATTTAACTTTGAGTAAGGGTTTTTTTTGTCATGATGTGACAATGCCACGTTATTTGTCATATGTCTCCTAGCATTGTCACATCATTGGATGGATCATATGTTATGTGGCAATGCCATATTTACATGGCACCATCACATCATTTGATTAGCCATATAACAATGTCATGTGACACATGACAATTGATGTGAAATTGTTACATCAATATGCCATTAGAGATTAATAATTGGATGACAAAAAAGCACTTACTCAAACTTAAGTAATTAAATTGATAAATTAAAAAGATTAATAGTTAAAATGACTATTTTAAAAAGGTAACTATAGTCAAGTGACAAATGATGTATTTTATCAAAACTTTTTAAACATCGAAAATCATAAGATTAAAATGATTTTATCCTCTTCTAAATTTAAATGAATTCTCCAATCATTTTCCATTAATGATATTTACTACATACCTGCAGCCTGATGTAGACTTTGGGATGAGTATACTTGGAGGAGATATTATGGCTATTCCAGGCCTTTATCAGTTTGTCCAGGTGCTGTACTGGTAATTTTATATTGGAAAGTAGGATTTTTGTTGGCTGTCTGAATTGGACAATCATGGAGGGTTTATGTACTTAGTACATAGAATTATGTCTGAAGATGAGTCAACTAACTATTCTAGTTGCCTGCAGAAAACAATTAAAAGGCAAGTCGCAAGCCTCTACCTTTGGCCACAAACACTTGAGATACCTATTCTTGATCCTGCAACGTAAGTTTCTTAGTATGCCTTGCTAGTATCTACTACATTTTTCTTACAGAACTTTCTAGAACTTTTATGTACATATTTTGGTCCTTCTATAGAGTGGCTGTGAAGAAGCCTGTTGGAATTCTACATGTAAAAGTTGTGCGGGCACAAAAACTCTTAAAGAAGGACATCTTAGGAACATCAGATCCTTATGTCAAATTAAAGCTAACTGGAGAGAGGCTGCCAGCAAAGAAAACGACCATCAAGAAGAGGAACTTGAATCCTGAATGGAATGAGAAGTTCAAGCTTATTGTAAAGGATCCCCAATCTCAAGTTCTTCAGTTGAAAGTCTTTGACTGGGACAAGGTTTTTTCACCTTCCAATTACTTGATAATGTAATGAAATTTTTGGGGTGAACAAATGAGTTTTTTTTCTCCACAGGTTGGTGCTCATGACAAGCTGGGAATGCAGTTCATCCCCTTGAAACTTCTTACACCCTATGAGACAAAGGAATTTAATCTTAATTTGCTGAAACACACAAAGGTAAATGATCCTGAAGATACGAAGCAAAGAGGGAAAATTGTGGTGGAGCTGACATATGCCCCTTTTAGAGAAGACAGCATGAACTTAGATGGGGTTCAGGATGGATATGGGAGAAAGGAAAGTGGATTAGACAGGCCATCTGACAGTGAGGTCTTTAGTGGAGCAGGTCTACTTTCAGTTATGGTTCAAGGAGCTGAGGATGTTGAGGGTGAACGCCATAATAATCCTTATGCTGTGGTCCTTTTCAGAGGAGAAACAAAGAAGACAAAGGTGAACTTCTCATTTAAATGCATAGTATTCTTCTAATTCTCCTTTAAATAATTGCTGCATATGCGCATATAGAGAAAAAGAGATTCACAGTTGTTGCATCAGGATAGACAGAAATTTGTATCTGTCTATTTGGTGTTTAATTCATGTAAAACACAAAAATTATCATGTTACAATTTGTATTGACACGCTTAACACAAAACTCTTTTTTTTATTTGATCAAACACAGTTCATGTTGCTTTCATGTCTTTTTTCATATTATTTTCATATCATGTCACGATAAGTCTATTCAAGGCTCACTAAAGGAGAAAGACCCAAAGCTTGCTAGTTAATCTGCATTCTTTTTTGCTTCCTTTATTCTTGTTAGAACTTCAAATTCTGTTCCTGGCTTGACATGCTAGGTCCAACTCAAAGCTTGCACATTAGGAATTGGACCCATCTTTTGCTAGGTTAAGTTTTTGTGTTGAATGGTTTCAGTAGTTTAAGGGACTCCAAGCTTGAAATTGTGTTTTAAACTAAACCAAGCCTAATAAAGATTTGTTTTAAGCCCGTTTTTAAATTTTGCCCATTACATCACTTTTTCAGGCCGATTAAGCAGGTTTATTTACATCAGATCTAGTGAATTCATGAAAAATTATCTTCTCACAGTCTTTCAACAAATTTGAACCTGGACAACAAAGAGAAGAGCACATTCAAGAGAGAATATTTCAATATTTGAAAATATATTTTAAATTATAGGTTTCTTATGTTTTAAAATATTTTCTTAAACTTTTTTGAGCCTTTTGTCTCCCCTTCCCTGATTACCATAATGTGACTAGCTGTTTTTGAATTGCTTTAGGGAATACTGACAGTTAAAATTCAATAGTAATTACTCTAATTTTTATGAGTTCTGCCACATTGCTGATGAACTGGTATGTTTCAGATGATCAAGAGAACCCGCGATCCTCTCTGGAATGAAGAGTTTCAATTCATGCTTGAGGAGCCTCCTTTAAATGAGAAGATCCATATTGAGGTTATCAGCAAGAGGACAGGCATTAGTTTCCGATCCAAGGTATGCAACTTTCTCCATTCTCATTGTACATTTTATCTAACGTAAAATACATTAGTGATCACTCAACTATGATCATGCCTTTAAAATGATCATCCAACTATTAAGTGTGTTTATTTAGCCATTGAAATTTGAGTAAGTTTTTTTGTCATCCAATCATTAGTCTCTCACTGTGTTTTAATGTGGCAATGACACGTTAGCTGTCAAGGTACCACGTGATGTTACCACATATGCCGCATAATATTGCTGACTTGGTATTATAAATTTAAGAAGAAATAAATTTGCTGATATAGCAAATACTTTGTGATACCTGACAGCTGATATGTCTTTATCACATCAACACATTGTTAAAGATTAATAGTTGGGTGACTAAAAAAAATCATGCACTCAAATTTTAGTAACTAAATTGAAAGTTTTAATAATTTAATAACCATTTTAAAAATGTGATTATTCTCTATAATGTTAGTTTCTTAAATAATTTTCTATGTAGGAATGTTTGGGAAATGTGGATATCAACCTCGCTGATGTTGTTCATAATGGACGAATCAACCAAAAATACCACTTGATCAATTCAAAGAATGGAGTGATACATGTTGAGATACGATGGACGACTGTTTGAGAAACAGGATGATCATACAACTGACGTAAATTTGCAGAACATACAAGATTAGTAGGAAGTCTGAGAAACATAATGAGGATACCATGGATAGAACATGGACTCAAAAATATACAAGACAAGATTACTGCAAAAAGTTCAGTTCAGTGAAGGTCAAGACCAGAAGTGCAAGAATCCAAGGTTACAGGAAGTTGATTCAGTCCTTGAACTGCAGTTTAGTTAACAAGATTTTGTGCCAAGTTATGATGTAATCACCAAACAATGAAAGCAAAAATGGTCTAGAACTGTCTACCCTTCAGAGTCTTGCCTGGTCAGAGAGCACCTTTAATTTCTTTGTTAAATCAAGGCCTTATCAGTAAATTTGTTCCATTTTTTTGGGCTGAAATTTGAAAATTTTACAGAGATGAGAGAATAAGTTTGAAGGAGTATACTAAAACTTCTAGACTTGGTACCTTTTGTATCCGTGTTGTATTTATTTTGTATTAAACACGTATAAATTATATTGTAATTTGTAATGAAAGATATTTTTTAGTTTTTGTCAAAATTTTAAACTATTTTTTTTTAATCTTTTTTTATATCATTTTCATGTTAGGATATCGTGATAAGGTCTAAAATTATAAGTCTAAAAATTTTTGCAAATTGGGGTTCTTGGCATCTCAGCACTAATCCAATTTTCTCTATTAGCACAGTTTTCTGTTAGGTTCATGTGTAGAAATAATTTAGTTCAAGTCACCCAAATGGCTAAGCCCATTGCTAAACACTTGTGGAGAGGTTTGCACACTGAAAAAACATAATTCACAACAAAATCTCACATTTGACAATCCAGATTACTACATTAAAAGCTTTTGGTAGAAAAAGACTATCAGGAAAAGCTGAGACCACCCATTAAAATGGGATAGCATCCCGCGGTGCATTTGCAATGGTTTGGGGATATTCACGAGCTGTTTTCTTGTTCTTTTCCCACCATGACCCCCTCCTCTCCTGTGACATCTTTGGTTATGCAGGCAATATCCTAAACCAGTGCATCGGGCAATGAATTTGGGAAACGTAGATTAACATGGTGCACTCCTACAATTTTCTGTTTCTTGCTGCCTTGTACAATGAGCTTCCCTCTCTGGATAACGTATGCACCATGCAACAGGCTTTGATAATTGTATAAATTTTTAAATGGAACACTGAATCATTTGCTACATACATCAATCTCAACAATCAAAACTGCGTGCCGGTTTTGCAACAATCAAGGGCAACATAAGTGACATATTCTTAGCAGACTAGATTAAACCAAGTATTTATCAAGATGTAGCAAAACTAAAAACCCTGAGATTTTCCACCAAAATATTAATTTTTTTTACAAAAGAGATAGCAAACTGCAGATAAAAGAACTGTTGGAGGTGTGAAAATTTGAAATCAAAATTTACTAGATATTATTTCTTAAATGTGATTGTATGAATTAAGTGAGCTAAATTTCGAGTTCAAAATGCCAATGTTACTACAGCTACAAAAACAACCTTTCGAACAAAGAGCCCAAAACTAGCCCAACTTGCCTTCATTTGGCCTAGGAATTCTTTTATAGTCATAGTTGTTTGTGTCAACCTTCTCTTGCAAATCCTAGAAAATAGAAGAAATGGCAAGTCACTCACAACTTGACATGAGCTTGAGGTTTCAGATAAATATCTTCAACTCTTCCTCCAATGAAGTATTTTTTTGGCTAATTTGCGTCGATGGCTCCTGTTCTTGATAATGCTTTCCTGGTCTCAATAATTTCCCATTCTTGATCATTTTTCACCTTTGCAATATCCTTGCTGAACTACAATGTACCATTACATTTTAGAAGAACATGGAAAAGAGCAGCAGGAAGGGGAAAATCCATAGCAAAATGATGAAAATAACTATGACTACAGATTAGAGGTGTTGCAACAGTAATTGAAACAGATATTCTTACTAAATTAAAAGATCCAAATAATGATCAGATATTCTCTAGTGAAGCATCAATGAAGGATGCAAACATAGAGTTTTCATGTAAAGTCTTCGTATACAAAATCTGAACAGCAACAAGTACTCTGCATTCCAGCATTAGCATCTCGAATACATTGGTCGCACTCCAACCATAAGGCATGCATCATAAACGGAACTGAGCCAATTATCTATAACATAACACGGTATGCCTCTCAAAGTTAACTTATGCTATTCTCAATGGCGGATTCAAAATTTTTTATATTTAATTATTGTAGAGGATGTTTGTTGGATGTCGGGTGTTGGCTAACTGTGGGTTATGACCGAATATTAAATAGTAATAGTGAGTAGAGTGGCCAAAAAATTAAAATATATATATTCTAAAAGAATTTTTGAATTTTTTTTTTGAATTTTTCAATTTTTGGATATCCATGATCACTATAATTTATATTTGCATATGCTATTCAGAGAACAACATATGTATTCATTATTAGTAAATTTAAGAAAAACAAAAATAGTAAGAAAGAAAAAAATATGGCTTTGAGGCATGAACAACACTAACTTAAAAGTAATTATGCCAATAGGATACAATAAAGCCTTAAAACTCTCTAAATCAAAAATAATAAAATTGGTCAGGCAGAAAGATCTATTTATAATAAATGAATAGTCATTAATCAAGCTAATTAAAAAAGTCATGACATTTTGTATAGTCATATTTTATTATTTAAATAGTAATATTTTTCATTATTCAAATATATTTATTCAGAATTAGTAATAAATAAAAAATAATAATAACAACAACAAAAAGATTTAAAAAATTAGCCCAAGTGCCCATCTTTGACTTTTAAAATTGTCTGAACCACTGGAAAAACTTCTAGCAAGCCCAAATGACTTAGCACACTTTAACACTTAGCTCAATTACTTAAATAATATAAGTAATTTCTTTTAAATCATATATAAGTGATTTTTCTACTCAATGTGCGATACACCACATTCTAAACTATCAACAATCCCCCTATTAGTTTGGAATGTTGGTGTTTAATCTTTAACCTTTCACAAAAATAAATATTATGAATACAAGTAGGTATCTTTTGATTTAAACTTTCAATAGCGTATATACTTAGTATTCTAACAAAGTTGATGGTGTCCGCAGATTAAATCTCAACTTCTAGTGTTAAAATTTAAGATATAATACACATAATACTTATTTAATATTCTGCAAAAGGTTTATAATCATTTTAGCACTATTATGGCTATGTGCTTATCCTTATTTATAAACATTTACAAGAAAGTTTCTAATTTTTTTGTTGAAGCGGTACCACTTCTATGTTTACATAGGTGGAGTTTTTATTTATGTCTCCATTGCTATAAACATTTAAAAACTCCATTAAGAGTTCAATCTCATCCTCCTTTAATGCAATGGCTTACACTAGTATTCCAAATATTTAGAATGGGTTGACTAGTGTTTACAGACACATAACAATAACTTGTTATTACCTATTAAACTTTGCAATTAGAGGTTACTAATTCAAAGTTAGGTTCCCATTTTTGGTGTTTAAAAGGAATTTTAAACTCATTCCACTTGTGGTGCTTTTTACCAAATTTTTAGGTAGCGCCTTGGTAAGAGGATATGCTAAGTTGTTAGCAAATTTAACATATATGATGTTAATTACCCCATTTTTTTATTAATTCTTTGATATAATCATGTCTTAGACTATATATCTAGATTTTCCATTATAAATTTCACTATAAGCTCTAGACATAGTAGCTTCACTATCATAGTACAATGAAATGGTTTTCATTGGTTGTGTCCACAACTCTATATCCATTAATAAATTTCTTAACCATTCAACTTCCTTGCTTGCTACAGCTAAAGCTATAAATTCAGATTCCATAGTTGAATGTGAAATGCAAGTTTGTTTCTGGGATGCCCAACTAATTGCACCACCTCTAAGGGTAAACATTCATCCTGTAGTGGATTTATTGTCACTTATACTTATGATCCAACTTGCATCGAATATCCTTTCAAAATAGTTGGGTCTCCGGAATAAAATAAGCCCAAAATCTTTAGTTCTTTTAAGATAACCGAGAACTCTTCCTATGGCTTTCCAATGACTTATACTAGGCTTACTTGTATATCTCAATAGCTTGCAAATAGAAAAAGCTATATTTGGCCTAGTACAATGCATAACATACATAATACTTCCAATAGCATTAGCATATTCAAGTTGTGCAATTATATAACCTTGATTTTTTGTTAATTTTATACTTGTATCATATAGAGTATTGGTTTCTTTTATATTGAGATACTTAAACTTATTAAGTAGTTTCTTAATATAATAACTTTGATTAAGAACGAAACCCTTATTATATCTCTTAACTTTAATTCCCAAAATGGTATCAACTTCATTTAAATATTTCATTTTGAAATTAGAAATCAAATACCTTTTGGTTTCATTTATGCCAATCATATTAGTACTAAAAATAAGCATATCATCCACATAGAGACATATTATAACTTCATATTCTTTAGTAAATTTTGAGTAAATACACTTATATGCTCCATTATATTTAAAACCATTGGCTACTATGATTGAATCAAACTTTTCATGCCATTGTTTAGGAGCTTGCTTTAGCCCATAAAGTGACTTAATTAATTTACAAACTTTATTCTCATTACTTGGAAGAATAAAACTTTTTGGTTGTTCCATGTATATTTCTTCCTTTAAGTCACCATTTAAAAAGGTTGTCTTAACATCCATTTGATGCACATGTAGTTTATAAATGGAAGCCAAAGTTATAAGAACTCTAATGGATGTTATTCTAGCTATCGGAGCATATGTATCAAAATAATCTATGCCTTCATTTTGTTTAAAACTTTTTGCAACTAATCTTGCTTTAAAGGTTTCTATTATATTTATTTCTAAACACCCATTTACATCCTATAAGTTTAAAACCTGGAGGTAAATCTACTAAGACCCATGCATTATTGGACATGATTGAGTCCATTTCATCATTAATAGCTTATTTCCAAAAAGCAATATCTATTGAAGTCATAGCTTTATTAAATGTTTTAAGGTCTTCATCTACATTTAGTAGAATTGGTGTTTTCTTAAGCACTTTGGTTCTATTTCCTTCTACTAAGAATATTATAGAATCTGGAGAAACAAAATCAGAAGGTAAAAGATTCTCTTTTTTAGTTCTTTTGCTTATTCTAATTTCAATAGAATCATTACTTTTTTTTCTTTTATTTTTAGTTGTAGGAATCATTTCAATTTATTTTTCCATATTAGTTTCAGTATCACATATAAACTTATTTTCAAAAAATGCTATATGAATATATTCGATAATAACATTAGTATTTAAATTAAGAAGTTTATATGCTTTTGAATTCTGTGCATAACCAACAAAAATAA